CTGTCAAAACCGCATCAGAGATCCAAGAGACAGCTCAGGAGGTAAAGGTGATTGCCACCAAGCCTGACAACCTTAGTTTGATTCCTGCAGGCCACACAGCAGACAGAAAGAACTCCTGCAGCACACCATGGCATGGTGACACATGAATCTTGGCATGAGCACATAAGGGCACACACAAAAATAAGTTAAGCGACTTAAAAATACATACATAATCAGCTCCTACTCTTGTATCTGTCCTCTCTTCCTTCTCCCATCTCTTATGTCTAGTACTTTACTATAATCCTGGTCTGCAGGCCTCCTCACTGACCTCTGCTACCAGTCTTTAGCTCTTCTCTTTCTCCTCACATACCAAGACAAGTATGCTCATACAACCCCTTCATCCACATCACTTTTTTGTTTGTTTGTTTGTTTTTTGTTTTTCGAGACAGGGTTTCTCTGTGGCTTTGGAGGCTGTCCTGGAACTAGTTCTTGTAGACCAGGCTAGTCTCGAACTCACAGAGATCCACCTGCCTCTGCCTCCCGAGTGCTGGGATTAAAGGTGTGTGCCACCACTGCCTGGCTAATCCACATCACTTTTAAGATATCAACAAGTTAGGGCTGTTACAAAGAAAACCCGTCTTGGGAAGAAAAAAGATACCACACAAAGGCTGGGCAGTGTTGGAGTACACCTTTAATCCCAGCACATTTACGAAGGCAGAGGTAGTCAGACCTCTATGAGTTTGAGGCCAACCTGATCTACAGAGCAAGTTCCAGGACAGCCAGGGTTACACAAAGAAACCCTGTCTCGAAAAAGAAAACAAACAAACAAACAAAAATCACATACGGACTAAATGATGGTTCATTTAAGTATCCAGTTCATATCTGTCAGTCGTTAGACACCATTTATTTACTGAGGATAAAAGGTAAGAGACAAAGTCCCCATGTACACAAATATCTCAATGGAGACAGAAAAAACAAATATAATACATTAAGTACTATTGAGAAAATGCTAAAACTGAAAGGAATACAGTTTTTTCTTTCTTTCTTTCTTTTCTTTTTTTGAGATAGGGTATCATTATGTAGTACTGGCTGATCTAGAACTAAGTAGGCCAGACTAGTCTTGAACTCAGAGATTCTTCTACCTTTTGCCTCGGGAGTGCTGGGATTAAAGGAATGAGCCACCACATCCAGCATCAAGGGAGTATTTTAAACTAGTAGTCGGTGACAGTACCTAAGAAGTTTGAGCAAAAACGTCTGACGATAAAAATCAAGTTACACAGACATTTGTAGAACACTCCAGAGAGAACAAATAGTATTCCAGTGGTCTGGAGGCATAGTAGAACTAGGGTTTAGGGCAGGCAATTAGATTAATTAGATTAATTAATTAATTAATTTAGATTAATAAGAGACCAGAAAAAAATGAGGGAAGAAACAAATACTAAAATCTTTACCTCTAAGAGCCGTCCCAAACAAGCTGCTTCCAAAACGGAGGCTTCCAACATGAGGCTCAAGCTAAGACGTAGCTGAAGGAATTAAATATGAAAAAGGAGCCCATGCACACATGGCAGAATATGCATATAAGGTGGGAAAGAGGAATAAAAAATAACCATACAAAGGCTCAAGGGGAACCATGACAAAAAGAGATGGAATGGTGTTGACAAGATGGCTAAGCAAATAAAAGTATAAGCCTGGTGCCCTGAGTTCAAACCCTAGAATCCACAGTGAAAAGGAGAACTCCTGAAAATTGTTTCCTGACCTTTACTTCACTCACACACACACACACACACACACACACACACACACACACACACACACACACACACACAATGCATGGAAGGAGTGGGGGAAGAGAGAGATATCAGAAAAAAAAAGTGACAGAGAAATTGCACAGTGGTTAAAGAGAGCATGCTGCTCTTCCAGAAGACCCAAGTTTGCTACCTAAAGGCATGTTGCTCTCTTCTGACCTGCTGGGACACTGGCAAATACACACAGCCTACACACACACACACACACACACACACACACACACACACACACTCTCTCTCTCTCTCTCTCTCTCTCTCTCTCTCTCTCTTTAAAAAATTTAAGATTTCTGCTGGGCGTTGGTGGTGCACGCCTTTAATCCCAGCACTCGGGAGGCAGAGGCAGGCAGATCTCTGTGAGTTGAGGCCAGCCTGGTCTACAAAGTCAGTGCCAGCATAGGCTCCAAAGCTACAGAGAAACCCTGTCCCCGGAAAAAAAAAATTAAGATTTCTTTATTATTTTATGTGGATAAGCCTTTTGCCCCCATGTATGTATATACAGTATATACATACATATGTCTGGTGCTAGAGTAAACCAGAAAAGGTATCAGATCTCCTGGGACTAACATTAAATCTCTTTTCTCTCACAATATTCATTATAAATAACCATTTCCAGAGAAACTAACAAACCATATTGATAGTTTGTAAACATAAGCCTAATCTAGTACATAAGTGACTCCTTTTGTTTTTGTATTTTATATACTTTATGTTCTTTTTGCCTAACCCAGTGGTACAGAGAAATCAACAACAGCAGAAACTCTTCCTTCTTATTGTCATTTGTTTCACTTACATACTTGCAATGTTTCAAGAGCTTATCTCCATTTTAGCATGATGAGCAAAAACTAGCGAACAGGCTGGCCTTACTAGCTAAAACATTTATTTGTTTGTTTATTAATTATTTAACTACAAGAGAGACCAGATAAATATAAGGGAAGCCACAAGAAGTAAAGTAATGCCTACAAGAGCCTTCCAAAATAGGGAGGAACCACAGAGCTTGGCTTCTAGGATAAAACTCAAGCTAAGATGTACTTGAAAGGGAACTTCCGCTCAACCCTTTCTCTTCCATATTCAGCTTTCTGGAACTTTTCTACAACATGACTTGAGAGGCAAACAGGTCATATGCTAACATTTAATAGGTTGCTTACCCTAAGCCACATGCCCACTTAGTAGTTTAACTTAATTTGACATGAAAAGGTGAAAGCAGAAACCAGGGTGCCCAAGACTTAACAAGACTCCCATTTCCAAGAACTTACCCAAAAAGGTGAGAAAGCCATTAAAAGGCTGTGTGTTGTGTTATAAAGGTGACAACAGTCAGTACCCCATGCCCTACAACCACCTGCACAAAGGCCTAGAGTGAGGACATAACACCACAAATTTGAGAAGAGATAGACTCTGATTTTACTGACTGAAGAGAAAGAGGAGAGTGCAGTCAGGAGACCAACATACTTATCTAAAGTTTTATGTATGCTATAGACTTGAGCAATTCAGCAGAAAGTAAAACACAATACTGGCTGCCCAGAAATGGTGGCGCACACCTTTAATCCCAGCAAACAGGAGGCAGAGGCAGATAGATCTCTGTGAATTTGAGGCCAGCCTGGTCTACAAAGTTCCAGGAAGACCAGGGTTACACAGAGAAACCCTGCCCCCGCCCCCCCAAAAAAAGACCAAAGACTTCAGAGCTAAAGTGTAGCTCAGTGGTTGAGAGCTTACCTAAGCCCAAGGTACAGGGCTCAGTCTTCAATACATATATACAATACCTGGGCACAGCCCTTCATGCTTCTAATTTCAGTATAAGAAAACTGTTCAAAGTTCAAGGCCATTCTAGTCTACATAGCAAGTTCTAGGCCAGCCACAGCTACTTACCAAGCCTGTGTCAAAAAAAATCTGTTTAAAAAAAAAAAAAAATCTGTTTTCAAGTCTCACTACTTAAAGATAATATTCAGCAAAAAAGTTATTTGCTGAATTAAAAAGAATAATTTCAAATTACATTTTTCAGCTCATTTTAGCAGTTTTCACATGTGCAATTACTTGGTAAGGAGACTCAATTTTATAGCTCTTAGAGGGCACATTTAACTAGTGTTTCCTATCTTCTCACCGGCACTTCTTAGTCTAATTCCACCTACATTAACATTTTACACTCAATTGTCAAAATTGTAAAAAAGGAAGTAACTAATTAGTTCACATTCTGCCATGTGAATAAACCTTTTTAAAGCCTGACTACTTCTTGGAAAGGATGCCTGAATAGATTAAAGGCTAGACTCCTCCCTGAAGTAACCCACAGGGTCTCTAACGCCTGACTCATTTTGCAGTTCTGACTTAAGTCTTCTTTTGGTTCCTCACATCTCTACAGGCAGTGGCTTAACAGCCCTGTAGAGCTTGATTGCATAAAAATAACCTAGTAATCTCACTTGTAGTCCTATTGTTTTTCTCTGTATGTCTCCACAAACTTCAAGTTATGATAGTTTATAACATTAAAATGAACATATCACATCTGTGCAGACATAAGAATGGTCCATTTCTGTAAAAAATTCATTAATTATCTAAATACTCTTAAAAATGTAATGTTGACCCTTAAAAAAAAATCAAAGGCCAAAGGGAAGGATTTTTGTTCAGAATATGTTGGGGTTATTCATAAAAACTTACACAAATTAACAAGCAAATATTAAGTCAAGCCATCAAGCCAAAAGTGAAGGCTGCTGGGCAGAGAAGAAAATGGAAGGAAAGAAAAGGAAATGACTCAAAGTAATAGTGTATAAGGCGTGAACCTTATGCATCCCTAGCTGGCAGTTAAGATTTGAACTCTGGGTCCTGGGGAATGGGAGAACACACTGAGCTGTTTTTACAGGACTTGCTCCCCCCGTGCTACTTTTTGTAATTGTGTACACACACACACACACACACACACACACACACACACACACAAGGTGGAATATGTAACCAGAACTTAAAACATGGGAAAGGTAGGAGTTAAAAGTCTCGAGTTCCTGAAATGTTTCATAACTTATTTTCTGGGGTGACGATCTTATTTCAAATACATAAAACAGAATATAATCCATGCACAATCTTGGAATTTAATTCCTTTAGAAGTCAAGACCTTCAAAGTCTGTGAGTAGGCTGGCAGTACTTAGGCACTTCTCTACCCTAATTCTGAACTCGAACGGTATCGGACTGGTCTCTTTACGGGGTCCGTTATAACATACACACCCCCCAATTATCTACCTGGAAATGATTCCTGTCAGAACATCCGATTTCATACCGTTTCGTCGTCAATGTCAAACCTCTTCCTGAGCTGAGAAGGAAGAAAAGCTCAGTGTTGCAACGGGTCCTAAGCAATATCCTCACCCATTTTCTTCTCACCGAAACTCAAAACCAAGCATCTTTTAAATACCGAGATTTAAAACCAAGGCAGTCGCCAGCTGCTAGGTCGCCACGGTCCGG